GTTGTGGGAGTGGAATATTATACCCCAAACTCTAGAAATTTTTGTCTCCTGTTCATATCTGTTTTGTAATTGCACAAAAGTTTATTCTTTTAGTCTTTGCTGGTTCCAGTATCCCAGATAGCTAGACCAGTGAGTGTTTAATTTTTTAAATTTTTTATTTGTGTTTGTTCAGCTCGTGTATTTAATGAAGAAAGAGACTGAAATTGTCTCAAGATGTATGTCTCGTGTGTTTGTGATTAAGGGAGATAGACAAAGAGAGGAATTGGGTGGGGGGGAATGTGGAGATAGACAGAAAAGATAGAAACTGGAAGAGAATGAGAGATGAGCACAAGAATCAGAGAAAGAGAGAGAGATTTTTCCTTCAAAAGTTCTTTATTCTTCTTTACAGGTTCCAGTACTGCAGACAACTGGAGCAGTAAGTGCTGTTTTTGTGTGTTTTTCTATTTGACTTTCGTTGTGTATTTGGAAAAGATAGTTAGAGGTTGCCCCATTGTGTATGTATACATGTGCATATGTGAATGTATTTGTGCTTGCTTGTATTTTTGTTTGTTTAGTGTGTGTATACATCTCCAGAAGGGATTAAGTTATTTTAACCAGACTATAATATTGGACATCCTCTCTGACGCATTATACATATATATATAGATATCTCCTGCAAGGAGAATAAAAACCTTTTTGTGTTGGATGCAATACCGACTTTATGGTCAGACACATCCTAATAGAATACAGACTTTATAGAGACCTGAAGGAAATATTTTTAAATGTTTGAATTTTTAAAATTTGTTCTTTATCAATGATCCCCCAAAAATCCTAAATTTTATAAAGACCATTGGCCTTTACTCTATGATATAAACTGTGTTATTTTGAGATTTAATTTGCTGCTTTCAAAACTGAATTTTACTAAATAATTTTAGATACTTCAACCTTGTTGACTCGCAGAGTAAAACCAGAGAGTTTACAGTAATACTAGAGAGACGGCACTTCGCTCGGATGCGCGCATCTGGGTCACCAGCTGATCGTGGAGAGACGCGCGGTAAACAAAACAAATTGCGTCCATTGTTCAAGGCACTTTAGTTGATCGCAGACAAGCATGGCCCCGGTTAGCACGAAGTGTAAATGGTGTTCTGCTATAAACTGCACCTATTAAAATAAAAATCTGAGTTTCTTTCGATTTCCAAAGGATGACGAATATTATTTTTTTTGATGAATAGAAAAATATAGATCAAAATAATGACAATATGATTGAGGTCCTACCAGACTGACACTCCATACACAAACTCAACACACTTCAACTTTTGAGCCTGCATTCTACTAGTGAAAGATATGTCTAAAAGTTTTCTAGATCTAAATATACAAAGTGCCGTCGATCGGTTTTGGAACTTTCTTTGTCCGATTACTACTTTTTTTTTGGGGGGG